CTCTTGCTGCTTTTGCTGTCTTCCCTGCCATGAACTGTTGTCCTCTGCCATGTGCCACTCTGCCTTGGAACCATCCAAGTGTGGACTGAAACCTTCACAAACTGTGAGCTGAATAAACCTTTTCTTCCTTCATTTTGGTCATTGGGTATTTTGTCTCAGCAATGAGAGAAAAGTAACCAAAACACTGTCTTAGTTATGTTCTGTTGTTATCACTGAATACTTGAGACTGGGTAACATTTAAAAAAAGAAATTTATGTTTTACAATTCTGGAAGCTGGGGAAGTCCACGAATACTGTGCAGGCATCAGGTGAGGGTCTTCTCGCTGTACCATAACAAGGCAAAGGGCATGTGGTGGATCAACAACTCGTGGTCAGCTTGCAACACCCAGCTAAACAGAACCAGCATGGTGCTGGGTGTGGGAGGCTCACCTGACTGTTGCCAGCAACATTAAAGGCAAAACTGGACAAAAAGAAGAGAGGCTCTTGGGAGCTGGCTGGTTCTCTTGGGCTATTTTGCTGGAAGAGGTTGTCATGCTGGCGTTCCTGATGAACTTGGCTGTTTTCATCAGAGGAGGAACCTGAGACCTCATTGTGGTTGAAAATGGCTACTGTTCACTTGGGGAGAAGCTCGTGTCTTCATTTTGAGCATTGCTTCCTGGCTCTGGAGGGGAACAGCATGCACTGCTTAGTCTCCTGAAGAAGCTTGTCATGCTGCCTTTCCTAAAGGGAGCTTGGCTTTCTTCCTCATTGGAGGAGCTCGGGACCTCACTGTTGCTGAGGATGGCTAAGGTACTTTTCAGAGGAACTCTGGTTCTTCCTCTGAGTGTTGCTTCCTGGCTCCAGCTCAGATCCCTCTGCCTGCTAGCAAAGGCTTTCTAGCTTCCACCACTGACCTTTGGGCCATCCCAGTGCAAATCTGTGAAATAGACCTACATGAGACTTTGTTGTGGGCTCTTGGCCTCCAATTGGACTTGTGAGGGGCATGGTTGTGGGTTCTAGGTCTTCAGCTGAACTCATACAGGAGATTACTATGGGATCCAGGCCCTTAGTTGGATTCTTTGGTCTTTAATGTGTGGACAGATTTCCTGCACTCTCTTTTTGTATATGATTCTTTGCATGAATATTATAAATAATCTTACAAAATATGTGTCCTGCATTGTATTGTTCCTCTTGCAAAAAACCCAAACTACAATAGGGCATCATGTGGAAAGAGAGAGCAAGTATGCCAGAGAGAGCTTGATTTTGTAACACCACCACCCTCAGATAACCTACTAACCCATTAGCCCATGAATGGGTTAATTCACATTTACTGTTAATTCCGCCCTTATGACAGAATCACCTCCTGAAGGTTCCATCTCCAGGCACCATTGACATATGAATTTAGGGATTAAGTTTCTAACATGTGAAAATTGGGGCACACCTCCCAACCAGAGCAGATGCATGACATTGCAGTGTTTCTGTCATTCTCTTGCTTATGCTTAGGATACCTAAGAAAGTTAAGTGGCCCAGGGCTCAGAGCAGATTTTGTGGAAGCTTAGTCTTGCTTCTGTCTTGGCCTGATTTCACTAAATAATTTCACTACATAATTACTGGAAGATTTCTAACCTGGCTCGCTAAACTTCTGTTATCATTCTGGACGCCAGAGGCTGTAGTGGGAAAACCCTGTGTCAGATAGGCTTATATGATGAAAAAATAAGTTCTCTCATCAAAAAAGGCTTGGGTGGGTTTGCAGAGTTGATTGACCCAACTGTGGCTCTCTAATGTCAAAATGGATCAGGTTCTTCCTGCTCACCTTTCCTACCCACTGTGGCTTCATCTCCAATGAAGATGGTGGCAAGATGGTGATTCCATCACTCAGCCACAAGCAAGAAAGTGAATTTTTTCCTCAGCTCCCAAAAGCATTTGCATCTGGATTGTGATCATCATAAACCCATGCCTGGACTGGCCATTGGGCAGGGGAGACAGGAAAGGCACGGTTAGCTTAGACTTCTCAGAATCTACCCTGGGCACTGAGGCTCAGGTTGTGACTGGGCCTTCCCTGAAGCACAGGAAGAGGGAGAAGCCTTAACAAAATCTGGATTCCCTCTGAAGTAGAGGGGAGTAGAGAAGCAGATGTTAGCCAAGCAACCAACAGGTTCTTTCCCAGAAGTGACACACACACAGGCAATACCAGGGGTGTCATTATTCCAAGTAAGAAGGCAGTTTTCCTGCACCCACTGGTCAGTGTGAAGGGTACAATTAAGCCTCTCTGCTCTCTGCTTCTCTTGCTAGCTTCCCATCACCAAATGAGTGGTCTGCAGGTGGACGCAAGGCAGAGTAAGCAGAGGACTGGAACAAAGTCACAGGAGTCTACTTTTGTCTGTGTTCTACCATTTCTTTCCCATGCATACCCACATCCTATGTTATCCCTTCAAAAGAAACCTCTAACACCCTCCAAAGTGTACAAGGGGGCTGGCAGTGTGGCTCAGTGGTAGAGCCCTTGCCTAGCACACACATAGCCATCGTGGACACTGAGAAAGAATAGTTCTTCTCTCAGAACTAGTGAGAACAGCTCCAACATAACACTTGGCCAGTATTTGCTGGGTGTAGGAAAGGCAGATGGAAGACTGATCAGCCATTGGACTCACTTGCATGAGCCTTCCCTAAGGCTTCTTACAGACAATGATGTGCGCTCTAAAGAATGTTGCAAGCAGGGCCTGCTGCCAGCCTGGGACTGTGGCCTGCTGAACTGTGACCCGGTCCAACCCTTGCATGAGCTCTCCATGCAATCTGTGGTGATCGCCACTGGGTCTCCCTGGCAGCAGTTCCACCTGACATCCCAAGGGGGAGGGAAACAATGGCTGGCAAAAGCTCTGCCTCCGCAGGCATCAATGGGCCCTGTGCTGTGGGACTGTGGGCACAGATGGAGGCGGCGTCCCTCCAATTCTGCCAAGTGTGTTTGCTAGATTTCTCTGTCTGGAAGAGTGAAACCAATCACAGAACCGCTGCACCCCAGTGGGGTGCCATAATTTTTTCTATTGGCTCTAATATAGGGAGTAAAATTCCCTTATTTAAATGTAGATGATGTTTTGATTGGAAAAAAGTATTTCCTGACATATTACAAATACAGTGGTGCCTCGGTTCATGAACTGAATTCTTTCCATGATTCTGGTCACAAATCAAATTGGATGAGAACCAAATCAAATTTTCCCATAAGGTCAACACCGAAACTAATCATTAAATTTGAATGTGTGTAACAAACTACCTTGAGCTTAAGACCCACCGACATGTGAACTCAGTACTGTGAAGCAGGTATGAAACATCATGAAGACATTTTCTCCTTTTCAGATTTATTTTTTAAATTAACACGTAATAATTATGTAGATTTATGGAACACTATGTGGTATTTTAGTACATGTACAGAATCAAATGTGGGTATTTAGTGGTTTCATCTCCGTATCATTTCTTTGTCTGTAGCCTTTGTGCGCCTGTCTTCTAGTTCTTCATGAAATATATGATAGACTATTGTGAGCTGTATTGATCTCCATACTGAAGAATATTAGAATATATTCCTCCTGTCGAAGGGTGTTTTTGTACTTGTTATCAATACTCTCCATCCCCACATCCTCTTCCCTTCCTCATTCTCTAATTACTAGTCTACTCTCTTGTACTTGAGATCAACATTTTTAGCTTCCACAGATGAGTGAGAACATTTAATATTTCTCTTTCTGTATCTGGCTTTTTAATGACCTTTACTGTGCTGCATATGACAGGATTTAATTATTTTTCAAATCTGAATAATATTCCATTGTGTGTATACCACAGTTTCTCCATCTACGCCTCCATCACTGGACCAAGTTGATTCCATATCTTAGCTATTGTGAATAGTGCTGCCGTAAACATACGGTGCAGGTATCATTTCAATATCAATATGCTAATTTCACTTCCTTTGGACACATGCTCAGAAGTGAGACATGGTAAGTATACTTTTAGTTTTTTGAGAAACATTGTGATACTACTTTCATCATAATATTGTGTGATGGAATGGGGTTTGGCAGCATTCCCCAATTTTGGGGACCAGCAGTGTGAAATCAAAATGTCAGCAAGATTTGTTCCTTCTTAAAAAACCAAAACCAAAACCCAACGATAGGGGCTGGGGATTTAGCTCAGCGGCACAGCACCTGCCTGGCAAGCGCAAGGTCGTGAGTTCAATTCCCGTACCAGAAAACAAACAAACCAAAAAAAAAAAAAAAAAAGTGTGATAAAGTATACATAACAAAAAATTGACTATCTTAAGCATTCTGAAGTATACAGCTCAGTAGTCTTAAATTCATTCACAAGGCTGTGCCACCAATTTCTGGATACATTTTTGATTGACATATTTAAGTACTGCAGAAAAGGACACAAATGCTAAATATGCAACACAATGAATTTTCACAAAGTGAACATTCCCATATAATCTGAGCCACCCTAGAAAATAAAATATGATCAGTACCCTAAGAGTACTCCTCCTTCCCTTCCAGTCACCATCCCCTCATGCAAAAGTCACCATGACCCTTACTTCTACTGTCTTAGAGCAGTAGTTGCACCTGTTTCTGAACTTTACATAAATGAAATTATGTAGTATTTATGCTTTAACCCTTTGTTCCTCTTGACCAGTGTCATAGTTTCAGAGTTCCCCCAAAGTCAGCCTAATGTAGTTTGTGCCTTTTCATTGCTGGGTAATATTCTATTGTGTGGCTCTGGAACAGTTTAATCTATTGTTGATAGGTATATGCTTTGCTTTCAGGGTGGACCTATAGTGAATACTCTTATTGGCACAATAAATGATTCTATGACCATTCTTATAGATGTTTTTGTTGTACATATGGAATGCAAATGTGAGAGTAGAATTGCTGCAACACCGGGTCCAGAATGTTCCCCCGAATCTCACTGTGTTGAAGGTTTCCCCCAAATCTCACTGTGTTGAAGGTTTAGTTGCAGATGGGCTTTGGAAAAGTGACTGGATCATGAGGACTCCAATTTCATCCGTGTATTAATCCAATAATGAGTTCATAATCTCATGGTATTATTGGGAGGTGATGGAAAAAGAGGTGTGACCTATTTGGAGGGAGTAGGTAGTGGGGAGATGAACTTAGGGACTGTATCTGGTCCCCTGACCCTTTCTTTCAGCTTTTTCCTCTCTCTACTTCCCCTGAGCTGAGCCACTTTGCCCTACTCTTTACCTGCCACATTGTGCTGTCTCATCACAGACCAGGAAGCAAGAGCGCCAACCAGCCATGGACTGAAACCACTGAAACTGTGAGCCTAGACCTTTCTTCTTTTAAATTGACTTCCCCGGATACTTTATCACAGCAGCAAAAAGCCAACTGTTGTACTCAAGTTTAAAAGAGTCTGCCAGGGACTGAATGTTTGTGTTCTCTCTGAACTTACACACTGACATCTTGACAGATGGTATCGGGATGGGAGACCTTTGAGAGACCTTTGGGAGATGATTGGTCGTGAGGGTGGATACCTGAGGAATAGTATTATCCGCTTCATAAAAGAGGCCTCAGGGCTCCTGTACCTCTTTCTCTACAGAGGACACAGTGAAAAGATGGCTGACTGTGAACAAGGAAGCAGCCCTCACCAGAATCCAGCCCTGCTGCTGCCCAGACCTCAGACTCCCAGGCTCCAGAACTGTAAGAAATGCATTTCCAGAGTTTATAAGCCAATCTGTGAAAATGTGTTACAACAGCCCAAGCAGAGTGAAGACAGAAACAGGGAGGTTTCCAAAGAGACTGTACCAGGTCACGTGCTCACCAGCAGTGTCTAGGGTTCTGTGGCTGTGCCCTCCCTAACAGTTGGGAAGTTTGTCTTGCTCATTTGCCATTCTGGTGGGTGTGCAGTGCAAGCTTGCTGGAGTTTTAGTTCACATTTCCCAGCTGAACAATAAGGCTGAGCACCTTTTTGTATGTTTCTGGCAATTTAGATATCCTCTCTGATGAAACATTTGTTCAAGTCTTTTACTTCTTTTTTTAAATTAAACCACAATACTTTATTAGATAGAATTTTAAATGTTAACTACAGTTTAAAATGCTAAGTACAGTTGAGAATTTTTTCAGCATTGTTTTACACTTAGAAGTCAAATAGAAGGAAGTACACTCTAATCAGAGCCCTAAATTAATTTTTGAATTTTCTACTATGACAAATTCCAACAAAAGTGAAACATCTGTTTATTTTTACATAATTATTTACTATTAACTGTCTCTATATGTGTATCAATATAGCACCGTACTCCATAAATAAGTTACAGATATTATTTCAATTCGAAGATAACCATTAAAAATGAGTAAAAAATAAATGTAAAAAAAAGTAGCAATTGGAACTACCTAACTGTAAGCTAAACAGAACTAAAAATGAAATAAGTACAGCAAGCCAATGGGCCCTTCCAAACAGGCTGAAAAAAGGACTGCTTCTACAAAGGCTAAGAATTCCAGACCTTATAATAATCTGTGTGGGATGTTTCCTTTTTCTCTTTTTAATTTTCTAATACATGTTTGCAATGCTTTTTGAATACATTCATTGTCTTTTTAAAGAGAACCAAATTCCACATGAAACAATACCTTTTTCCTATTGATTTGTATGAATTATTTATATATTCTGGGAATAAATCTTTTCTTGGATAAATGAATCACAAATATCATCTCCCATTCTATATACCCCCCACACACACACACACCACACCCTGCACTGGGACTGAATCCAGGCCTTTGTATTAAGCTACATCCCCAACTTTTAAGTTTTTTAATTTAATTTTATTTTTATTTTGAGACAGGGGATCATTAAGTTCCTCAGGCTGGGTACTCAATCCTCCTGTCTCAGCCTTTTCAGTATCTGGGATTAGGGGCCAGTGCCACCATGTCTGAATCCTTAGCTTTTGTTTTAACCTCCTCCTAATAATGCTTTTGTTCATTAAAAGATCTTCATTTGACTGCCTTCAAATTCTGACTTTCCTTTACAGTTGATGACTTCATGTATTCTGTTTGAGAACTATTTTCCTACTTTGAGAGCTATAAGGGTATTTTCCCATGCTGTTTTCCAGAAACTTTATTGTTTTACAATCTATCTGAAATTGTTTTTACCTTGCTTTAACAAAAACCATTCACTGCAATGTTTCAAGCTAAATAATTCAGACATGACCAGGAAGGTGGTTTCTAGGGAGTAACCTTTACATTTGTTTGTTAGTTTTGTCCCTGCGAGAAAATACTCTTTTAATGTCTATCTGTGAGAAATAAAAGCAGGTAAGATGAGCCTCATCCTACTGACAAGGATTGAACTGTTCAGACACTGAGAGTACCCAAGGGTTCAGAGCTTCCCCATCCTTATCCTTGTGGGTTGATTGCCCCTCTCTATCTTGAGCTTTGCTTATTTATTTTTCTAAAAGCAAGATGGGACAGAAGCACTTCTCGTTGACTTGAAGAGTAATGCCTGGATCTATGAACGCCTGTCTTGCGTACTAAATGCCAAGAGCAATGGGTCACCTGCCCGGCATTCATCTTTCCTAACTCACTCTCCCTGGCTGCAGGTAGTGGATGGGCTCTGATCAGACAGCTGTGGGGCTCCTCTGCCTTGGACTGGAGACATTTCAGGTTAGACTATTTATTCTCTAGGCCGTAAAGCTGTCATCTGCGTAATATAGGAACTGCCTCCATGAGTGGCTGAGCTCAGCATAGATCTCCACAGTTAGTGGCTCATGAGATGCTGAGAAGTGGAGAATGTTCTCCTTATCTGTCATTCTCTCCTCTCCTCCCTCAAGCCCACAGCTCTCCAGCAGCCCCCTCCTCACTCTGCCCACCTTGTGGGCCTGAGGGATCGGGCCATCATAGTGTCTGCTGAAAGTCACTTCTCCCTTGGTGTGTGGTGCCACGTTTTCCCTCTTCCTGCCTCTTGTCATTTTTATGCCCTCCATGGAACCTTCAATAGTTTCACTGGGCTGCTATTTTACTTTTAAAGTGATCTGGCTCCTTTAAAAAAACATGTTCACCTTTAAAAAAAAAAGTCTCATCATTGTAGAGTTTCAGGATCCTTGTTTGTTTGATGGCGCATCACCCGACCTCCAAACTCAAGGGCAAACGTTTTACAAGGCCTGCATGCAGAAAGTAACTTCAACTTCACCAGGTCTTGAAAAGGACAAGAAGTTTGCAGTCCCACAGCTAAAGCAATGGAAACACCAGGAGGCTAGAAGGAACACGGTGGATTCCAGGCTCGGCTCTGCTGGCAGCAAACCACAGGCCCTTGATCTCACTTTCCTGTGTCTCGGTTTCCGTTCAGTTACATGAAGGAATTGGCTCTGCCAGGGCACTTTCAGTTCCACCCGCGTAGAATCCTCTAACAGTTGGACACATTCAGAGTTAAAATGTCAGGCCTGTGACTCAGCCTTGTAGATATAGCAGAGCTAGAAAACTGGAGCTGAGGGACTCTCTCACTCTCTTTCACCCATTTGATTTTCAAAAGCATTTTATAGCCATTCCTCCTTCCCCTGTCCTAAGAGAGGAAGAAAATAAAATAACAAATACGCAGAAGATCTCTGATGCTCCACGCAAGAGCACACATATGTTGGATCTCCCAGCCTGACCTTCGGTTACCTTTACCCTACTCCCACCTTGTTAAGGGTTCATAAATATGTACTACATGTCGTGCATGCAATTAAGATCAGAGTGAGTTCTGGGACAAATGTGCGTGTTCAGAACCCCTGACATGACCCAGCACCCTGTCAATCATTCCTGCCAGTCACATCCAGAGATTCGGGGGAGGGGCCTGGGCAGAAGTACATATCCTTTAATTTCCAAAACCCTGATCTATCAGGGCTGCTGTTGCTGTAGCTGTGTTCAATGCTTTTGCCTTTCTGTCACCCCAGCGCTATTTTTCTGTTGATGTCATATCTTTTGTCAGCACGGACTTGCCCTGAGCACAACTTCCTGTGATTGTCAATAAATGTAGCTGCTTTCTACTTGCTACCAGGTGACACTTGGGAATTCTCCGCTCATTGTTCACAAGAGCCTGGATCATGTCTGCTTGTCACATGGTAACAGACTTTGTTCACTTTTCTGAAGATTTCATTGTTAAAGAACTGTGGAAGGGAGCATTTTCATAACAGAAATCCAACTCACCAAGTTTCCCTGCAAGCACACACACAAAATGCAAAATAATGTAAAGTCTGACTTGAGTTGTAGCTTATTTAGACTCAATAATATTCAACATAACAATAAAAGCCAAGTACAGAAAAAAGATCCTGGGTAGTGTTTTTGGCATTCAATTTAGATTTGATCTGCTAATTTATTTTTTGTGTAGAAACCCTTAGATGTTGATGGACATTTCAATTTTTTTAAAAAAATTCACTTGGCTTTGTTGAAAACACCTGTTGAAATTTGATGTGTAATATACACTCCCACTTCCTTCTTTGGAGAGGTAGCTTAAAAATATTTATTTCTTAAAAGTCTCTCATGACATAGATTCCCTGGAGTGGTTGCTATGTCAACACACTTGTTAGGCATCTTCTGTGTGACAGGTATTGTGGAGATGACAAAGACATATTATGTAAGATATGACCATTTTCCCTAGGAAGTATGCAGCATACTGCATACATGAGATTTAAGGAAATAAAAATGTGAATGGTAATTAAAGATAGTGCATTTTCTTTTCCCAGGATTTTTTTTAATAGAACCTAATACAGTGATTCTAAAATTCATTGGAAAGAATAAATGAGCAAGAATTGCCAAGCAGGTATTGCAAAGAAGGTAGGTGTTTGTTGTAGGGAGGAGGTATGTGCATTGTCTGTTACTCAGAAGTGCTATAAAACCATTGCAATGATAAAAATAAGAGACGATTTCAGATAAAAGAAGATAACAGAATCAGACCTGTGTGCACGCCCGTGCCTGGATGACCATGCATGAATCAGATGATGTTAAATAACTGATAAGCTCTTGAGAAACAACAGTCAATGCTTTTTAATATATGGTAAAATAAATCCCAGTGAACTGAAGGTTAAGTGTAAAAATGAGTAAAAGAAAATATATCTCTCTGTGCTTTTTGATGTGGGATTTCTCACATCTAAAGAAACCATTCCTTGTAAGCAAACACAGTTAGAGGAAAAAATTTTAGATGGACTAATAAAAAGCTGAAAATAAGCATTATGTTTCAAAAGTCTAGACAATTTTAATCTATAATGATAGAAAAAGCGTAGGTGTTGTCTGGGCCCAAGCGTGGGGCAGAATAGAATACAAAGGGGAATGAAGGAGTTTTCTGGGCTGATGAAAATGTTCTGAATTTTGGTTGTTGCCAGTGGTAACACAGGTGCACATATTTTACAGAGCTTATCAAACTTTACACTTTGAATGGCTGCATTTTATTACATGTAAGTTGAACTTTTAAAACTCACTAAAATCTTTAAAGGGAAAACTATGAACCAAGAAAATAATGACAACATCTGTGACAAAAGTCTCATAGCCTTAAGTTCAGTATGAGGAACAGGAACATCCAGGGGAGAAATGGGCCAAGGACACAAACAGGGAAAAGAAAACAGTGGGCCTTAACCACATGAAAACAAATTCAGCTCACCAGGGACCGCAGAGGGTTAAATGGAGACAGACAAAGAGGGCAAGGAATGAGATGAGTTGGTGGTGTGTATGCGGGAGTTACATACCCAAAATATGCAGATGCTGAAAATTACCGAGTAAATGCACATGGAGGCCCGCACTGATCTGAGAGCCTTTGAGAGAGACAGTGCTGAACTCTCACCTCATCTATGGCTTCTCTGCTGAGCTGTGACTCCTTCCCTTAGATCCATTCGAAGATAGTCATGGCACTATGCAGTTTTGTGATAAAGAGAGACTTTCCTTAGTGACAGAAGTCCCATGAGTCCTGGCTGTCAGGCGCCACTTGTCATAGTGATTCTGAATGTTTTCTTTTTCCTGTGCTTTTACCCCTCTCCATTCCTTTAGATGAATCTTACAAATCACATGGTTTTTCCCTTGCAGCCTGCATTATTCTGGACAGAAGAGGTTTCTGCATTTTGTGTTTTGGTCCAGTCTCTCCTCTTACAGAAGCCTGTTCATCACGTGGGTGAATTTAGATACCTCTACTTTGATTTTCTCCAAAACCCTGGAAAATGTCAACATGCTTAGAGTAATAAATATACATCTTGTCAGCTGAGCCAGCTGTTCTGAACATGGCCTGTCTAACAGGTAGGTTTATTCTCTTCCTGATTATTACCATGGATACACTGAGGCTATAACCTCAGAGAAGACTTTCTAGGACCCTAAGTTGCCTTCCTACCACCCAGGAGCAAACTCAACCCAGGTCAGGATGCCAAGGCCAGCTAAGACTTTGAGCTCTCGGTGTCAGTTCATTAGCTATGGTTCCACAGGTCATGTGTATGGCCCTTCCCCTAAAGCCAGCTTGGCCAGTCCCTGCTGGGTTCTGCCACGGGTCTAGGACAGGGCCACAGTGGCTGCCAGCTGGATGATCAAGGACAAGCACCTCACAGATGTGATGGGTGTGCACCACTGGCAGGAATGACAGGGACCACTGAGTCACAGCTTACTTCATCTAGTAGCCCAGCAGTGGTGAGTGCAGACCTCCCAAGGACAGTAAGAGCTGTGGTTCCAGTGGGCAAGCACATGCCGCATCTCTGCTCATGTACTCTTGCTAACCTCCTGTTCACAAAGCATGTCATGTCATATGATGGTTTGTGTGTGTCCCTTACCAGTTTGTGGGTTGGGACCTTAATTCCTCTCTGTGGTTGTGCTGGGGGTTGCTGACTAGTGGATTAATGCCTGTCTCAGGGGGATGAGTAACCTGTGTACGAGGTAAGCTCTCTTCTCTTTCTCACTGCATCTGCTTGCTTTCCCAATTTCCACCATGACTTGAAGCAGTGTGAAGCTCTAACCATTTGTGGACATCTGACCTTGTACTTCCTGACCTCCAGAACCGTGAGCCACTATAAACCTTTTTCTTTATGACCTATTCAGTCTTAGGCAGTTTGTTATAGTAACCAAAAATGGACCAAACCTTACTTTGTAAAGTTCTCATGAGGATTCAGGGAGACACTTCCTGCAAAGGCCTTCTTCACATATTATTGGGTATGTAAATGTTTATAAATTATTGGGTCAATAAATGTGAGGCAAGAAGTCATTGTTTTGCAATTAGAGAAAAATAACAATAAATATTGTTTTTAAGCCATAGTTTTAAAGTCATATTTTGAAAACTATAATTTAAAATAAGATTTGGATTTATTTAGCCTCTGTTGATTGAGGAAATATGTGATAAAAATGGTTAATAACTTTCAGGAATGGGGATGGGGATTTAGCTGGCACTGGGGATTTAGCTCAGTGGCACAGCACCTACCTGGCAAGCACAAGGTCGTGAGTTCGATCCCCGGTACCAGAAAAAAACTAAAAACCAAAAAAAAAAAAACCTTTCAGGAATGCTTTCTATTAGATTTGTATTTGTATTTGTATTTATTTGTATATAATAACATAAAAATAGTAGCACCTATAATATGTGAGAAGGATTTTGTAAACTCACAGATGGTGGTGCTGTGCACAGGGAATTGAAGTCCCGACAGAGATCTTGTCTCACAGGTTAGTAAACAATTATTTGAGACAGCAAAAGAAAAGACATAAAGAAGTTAGTCTGGCCAACTGTCAATTAAATTGTCCAGCTCATCAGTGGGTAATGCTGCTGGTCTGACATTTCCTAAGGTACATTAAGGATGCCTTCAATACAAATAGCATCATAATTTTTTATGATCCCTTAAATATGACCAGCCAGAGTTTGCTCCCTGTTATTGTCCCTCTTTGGTTCAGATGCAATATCCCAGGGGCTTCTGGAAAACACATACTTTCAAAGGTCAATGCTATCTGGGTACTGGCTACTATTATTATGATGCCCAGCTGCCTCAGTCCTGCCAGCCCTGTCTGATTGTCCTACCACCAGCTTCCTGTGACCCTGCGGAGCAGTGAACACATTGCTTTTCCCCTGGTGTGTCTGGGTCCAGGGTCTGCAGATGCTGAACGGTTAAGACAGAGTCTTTCCCAGTAGCTCCTTCCCGTCTCTGCATGGATAAGAACACATGTGCCACCAGTAGGCCAAAGCTGGCAGCCCACATGGCATGGCTCCCAGGACTCTGGTCTGCAGGGCCCCATTGCCTTTCAGGGATCCTCTTCTTCCCACTGTTGGGGCCCCAAGAGCTTCCATTCTGCCCACAGGGAAAGCCTCCAGGGGCTCCATCAAGTCCCACAGCCAGTGGCTGCTTCACTGTCCTTGCAATGTCACTCAGACCTGCTCAGTGTTGCTGCCAGAACTAGCATCTGGCACTGTCACCCACCATAACCTATGGAGTTGGCTGAGCCAGGGGCCCATAACTGCTGCCACAACCCCAGGGATCCTGTGGACCACACATAGTGGGAGGAAAGACCTCTAACTAGCCCCTAAGCAGTGGCTGCAGCAGCTGTCTGCTCCTGCTGGCTCCTGGGAAATCTTTCTTAGGTGCAGCTCTCCAGAACCAAGGGCAAGAATGGTGTTTTCCATACAAAACTTGCCTGTGTCCTGGATGGCACCATGGCTCCATGAATTCAAACCAATACAAAGCCCTCTTCCTCCTGAGACAAAGGGCACCAGGGTGGCCCGGCCAGGGTATGCTGTATCTAGAATCAGTTGACTTCTTGGGCCTTTAGGCTTGGAGCTGCAAACAGCTCACTGGCCTAGGTTCCAAGGGCTCTCACATGCCATTTGAATATTTTCCACTGCACTAACTTAAACAGATGCTCTCAATGTTGTTCAGTGCACAGCTTTCACAACTGTCACAGTGACCCTGTGTTCTTTCCTGATAAAGCCCTTTCTTGGGTTCTGCTGTCCTCACTGCAATCTAACCTAGCACATTATAATTGCCTTCCAGTCCTTGCCACCCAAGAGACTTCACTTTCTTTTCCTTCCATCAGGATACCATTAGACTTGGTTAAAAAAAATCTGCAAGGACAGAGAGATGCTAGCAGAGCTACATGGATAGCAGTAACGGAGCCCTCGTCAGTGGCTGGGAGAAAGATCCAGTTCGAATTGGAAGATGCTCTCAACTCTTCAGATGCTCTGTAGCCATGAGGGTAGGGAGGAGGAAGGCTCCCTGGTGATCAAACTCCCTCCTACCAGGAGCCCCACAAGTGAAGAGGCATCATGAGGGTCGAAGCCTCTGCTTCCTCTTGATGCCAGTCACTCTCCTACTCCTCCCTGGATGGCCTATCTGCAGAGACTCTCCTTCATCTGTGGTGGATGGACAACTGGTGGTCAGCTTGCAACCCCCCGCTGAACTGAATCAGCTGTGGTGCTGGGTGTGGGAGGCCCACTTGAGGGTTGTCGGCAACAGCATAAGAGGCAGAACTGGAGGGGAAGAAGTTGCTGGAAGCTGTTGAGAAGCTGTAGGGAGCTGTTGGTTTTCCTGGAGGAGCGTGTCATGCTGGCTGTCCTGATGAACTCAGCTGTTCTTACTGTTGAAGGGGCTCTGGACCTTACCGCTGTTGAGAATAGTTACAGGTCACTTTGGGGGAAGCTCTGGTCCTCACTTTGAGCATCGCTTACTGGCTTCAAAAATGGTGCGCTGCTCAGTCTCCTGGAGAAGCTTGTCGTGCTGGCTTTCTTGATATGAACTCGGTTGTTATCACTGGAGGAGCTTGGGACCTCACTGTCGCTGAGGATTGCTGTGGTACCTTTCAAGGCAGCTCTGGTTCTTACCTTGAGCTTCGCTTCCTGGCTCCAGTGCAGATTCCTCCACCTCCTGGCACAGATCCTTCATCCCACTAGACTTTCTAGCTTCTGCCACTGACCTTTGGGCCTTCCCAGTGCAGGTCTGTGAAATGGGCCTGCACGAGACATTGCCATGGGCTGTTGGCCTCCAGTTGGACTGGTGGGAGGCATTGTTATGGACTCCAGGTCTTTAGCTGGACTCATGCAGGACATTACCATGGGATCCAGGCCCTCAGCTGGATTCTTTGGTCTTCAGTGTATGGATAGATTTCCTGTACTCTTTTTGTGCACGACTCTTTGGGTGTCTATTATAAAATAATCTTATAATTAAGTGTCCTGTATTGTATTGTTCCCCTTGCAAAACCCTAAACTACAACAATCTGTGTGCCCTTTGTCTGCTTGAAGAGCCTGCAGAGGGAATCTGGAAGCTGCTTCGCATCCCTATTATTCAGAGGCTTTGTGTCCCAGCCTCTCTGGTTACCAATTGGGCCTTACGTCTGTGATTCAGGTGGCTGCCGTCAGGTTAGCGCACCTTCACTCCTCTGAACAGTCACAGCAAGGCCACCTGCAGACAGTGAGACCCTTAATGAGAGACACAATCCCACATGCACAGCCAGTCACGGCACAGTTCACAGTGCCCGTGGAGATGGCAGGCGCTGAGAGGCGAGCTGGCTGAGCACACTGGTGAATAACTGTATCTATATATAAGATCGACCTGGAGCTACCCCAGCTGCAGGCTTTGATGCCACTCATTCGGGCATTTGGAGGTCCCAGGCCTCCTTCAACACTTTGTTCTACTAAATATTATAGCAGCTTCTAAAGCACCAACCAGGCACCTTGTTATGGGCTTGTTTGATGTCCAAGCTGCAATGATTAAACCTTAACCCAGCCCCAGATCCTGAGCCGCAGCCATCAGCTCTGGGCCTGGCTCTTTGCTGAGCTGGCTGTGGGATCGTGAAAGTTGCTTAACCTCTGGCATCTTTGTTTTCTCCTAGCACTAGGGCAGCAGAAGAAACCGCCTAGGAGGCTGGCAGAACCCGCTTGGCCCCTGTCACCCTGCCACGCTCATGTTGGCCAAAGTTTACTGCTGAGCTTGCTTTCCTTTCAAAACAGACGGGCCCCTGCTTGCCAGGGAGGGTGGGAACAGGACTGAACAGGAACAAAGAGCCAGCCAGATGCGTAGTAGGTCTTGCTGTTCTCTGAAGACTGTGTCTGGCTCTGGGGAAAGTTTGGGATTTGCTGATCTCAGTGTATGCAGCTCACACAGGCTCTCTGAGCCTGTTTCCTTCTTGGTATGACGGTGCTGCAGTTAGGATCAAATGGGACTGCACATGTGAACGCTTTCGAGAACATAAAGAGAGTGCAACTCAGAATGCGAGGGGCCATTGCAGTTTGCTCTCAGCTGTAATGAATTACCGTGTGTGTGTGTGTGTGTGTGTGTGTGTGTGTGTGTGTGTGTCTCTAAGGATTGAACCCAAGGCCTTTGCGTTGAAATATATTCCCACACATCTTTTTATTTTTTGGGGTATGGTCTTACTAAATTGCACAGTCTGGGCTTGAACAGGCCACCCCTCTGCCTCGGTCTCCTAGGACACTGGGATTACAGGATTGTACCACTGTGCCTGGCTTCAGATGTTGTTACCTTTGCAATGTCCCCTCAACGAGCTCCCCCTGGCACGCACTGGAAACACCCAGGCAGAAGAAATGGAAGAGATATGCCTCCTCATCCTGTTCACATTTCCGGTGTGATTTCTGAGAATGCCCGTGTTGAGGCATGCTGGAAATGCTCAGCCGGTCACCACTGACCCAGGCAGTCCCCAGAGCCCAGCTGTCACATGCATATGCTTTTCCTGGCATTTCCTTTCTTGGGTCATCACGTGAATGAGTCTCTAGCACTATCCCTTACCTCTAGCATCACGTGAATGAGTCTCTAGCACTATCCCTTACTCAGAGCCCATGCCAGGATGAAGGCCCTGTCTCCCAGCCAGTCCACGAGAGCAAACTGCAGTGGCCCCTCGCATTCTGAGTTGCATCCTCTTTATGTTCTCAAAAGCGTTCACATGTGCCGTCCCATTTGATCCTAACTTCAGCGCCATCACACCAAGGAGGAAACTGAGGCTCAGAGAGCATGCGTGAGTTGCATACACTGAGACCAGCAAACCCCAAACCCAGAACTTTCTCCAAAGCCAGACGCAATCTTCAGAGGACCGCAATACCTACTATGCATCTGGCCGGCTCTTTGTTCCTGTTCGGTCCTCTTCCCACTCTGTCGGGCAAGTGGGAGCCTGAGGCTGCTGGTCATGTGCTGGTCATCTTTCACAGCTGCCAGGCAGCCTGAGGACAGAGGCACAGATGACTGAGGCTGGCTCCTGCTGGAAAGCACCTGGGGAATAAAGGGTGCACAGGAGCTGGGTCAGAGCTCCACAGCAGGGCTCAGCGCATCCTTCTGGAGCCCAACAGCTGGTGTGAGGGAAAGTCACTCGCGGAGAGCCATCTGCAGCACCGTCCCTGAGCACAGCCAGCCTGAGATCTGCGGGGAAGTGAGGAGGATGCAAATTAAATAGGTGGCAGACACTACTGGATGACACACCATCTAAGTGACAGCTTAGCCTCCAGCCCAGGTGGGAGGAGCAGGTGGCCAGGGGAGAATTCAGGGCAGGAGGCTGGGTTTTCTACCTGAAAGGGAGCAGGCACAGAGGCGCGTGCCCAAGTCAACCCCTGGTCTTCTCACTGTATGGTGGAGACCTGTCTTCCACTTCTGTCACCCCCAGGCCCTAAACTTAGCACTGGGGACTTAGTGGGTGTGTGGTAAATATTCATGGAATTTAACTGAATGAATACTCTGGGCAAAAAATAAAACTTCTCTTGTTTCAGTTCCCAAGACCTGCCATCTGGAAGGTACTTTTATTTTATTTTCTATTTTTTGCTTTTTGGTCTGAGACATCTGAGTGAGCAATGCCTTAATTGTTTGAAATTTGTCTCTGGTTAATGCTACACTTTAGATGTGCCTTTAATCTTCAAGAAGAGTCCACTGAAGGCAAACCTCTGCACATGCAGTGATAGAATGCACCAAAGTCCTCCTCATGATCTGGTTCTCTGGGTGATCAGTGCAGGGTGAGCCACCAGGGAGAGTGAATTCTGCTTGCCTTAAGCCTGAGTGTTTGGAGAGGAGCTTCCAGCTGCATCTGCTGGGTTCCTGGAGACACACACTGGGCCCCTCCATACTCATCACTGATGTTTCCACCAGGAGTGCATTGGCTCCTTTTCTGGCTTTTCAGCAAAACTGCCTGTGGCTTTGTGTCCACCCAGGCCTCTTGTTCCAGCACACAGCGCGCGTCCCTCCATGTGCTCACAGAAGGAAAAACAATTGAGAGTGTATTCCTCAAGACTCCAGCACAGGCAATAAATGGTTTGAACAGAGGGGAAGATTTTGTTTTAGATCTAACATTTCATGCTGGATACAAGTGATGGCAAGTAAGTGGGTTAAATCACTCATTCTCCATTGTTTTGTTTATTCATTAATCCATTACATCTTTATGGGATCCTTTGTCTACCTCAGTCATTAGATACAGAGGTGAGAAAAGTAAGGGACCTAGAACACCTGGGAATCAGCAAGGTAAAATAAAAATGCAGATGTGCACACACGCACAGCATCATGTCACTTGAAGTGACTTTTTGGATAGAGGCCACAAGTGTTATGAGGACAGGATGTTTTGAATATTAGTTACTGGGCACCAAGATCTATTTTAACACATATATTTCACTTCCCCAACATCTTTATGTGGTATAAACTGTTATTCCAGCCTTATACTTGAGAAATATGACATTTAAAACTGAAAATATTTGCCTCAAGTTACACTGACTACAAGTAGAGAGTTCAAGGATTTGAACTCAGTTTGATGCTCATCTAAACTCACCATGAATACTACTTCTATAGAATCCATTAGGAAGAAACACCTTCTATCAAGAGTAGTGTCTTCAAACATTTCAAGGTGTCACACAACATGTCACCCTCCTGCTATCTTATGTTTAGGTTAGGGTTGGCTCTTTACTTTTCATATTTTGGAGATTCTCTTCATTCTTACAGGATGCAGTCCTCCTGGGTCAGCTAATGAAGGCACACTCCCCTCCTCCAGTCAGGAATAAGAATGACAGCCAAGCTGGTGAGCATAGTGAGCAATGCAAAGATGGAATGTGATTGGACATGACCATCTAGTGGCTCTGGGGGCTGAGATCTTCAGAGTACCAACCTTCCTTAGCATTCAGCTCTCCATCACTGGGTCCTGTGAGTTAACATAGGCTGCACCAGCAGCTGGTCAACGCAATTGGTGGCTGCTACTGCTAAGCTCTGAGTGCACACTTGTTTCTTTTCAGGCAAAATAGTGATCCAGCTTTTCCATAGGATTCCAGCAGAACCAAGTTGGATCAAGGGGTTATGCATTGCTGCGAGGCTGATGTGGGTTTGGCATGGGAAGAGACCAGCTTACAAGTAAGAGAGGGCTGAACATGGAATGAGCAGCCTTGAGAATAGTGATTCCTACTCCTGGAGGTGTTTAAGCAGGATACAGTTGGAAACATTCACTCACTGGGTGTGAGCTTCAAACTAAATGCCCTCAACATCCTTTCCCTGAAAAGAATTGGTTGT